GCTGCGGCGGCGCCGAGGGAGGAGGAGGAGGCGCCCGGGCAGAAAGGCGTGACCGCGGAACACGTGCTGCAGGTGCTGGAGGAGGCCCTGGGCGACCATGCGGAGTGCGAGGGGCTGAAGCAGCTGCTTGGGGGTGACGTTGAGGCCTTCCTGCTTGTGCGGGTCCTCCTGCTGACGCGTGGCAATGACAGAAACGCATTTGAGAATGGCATCTTTAAGCTGCTGCTGTCGTTGAAGCCACAGATTTCAGTGGAGCGGGTTATCTTGTGGATGTCGGGGCGTGACCGCACCGCGTAGCTCCCGCATTCCGTGTGGTGTTCTTTCTGCCGTTTCTGAGATCCGCGCACACGGCGTTTGTGTGGGGCTCGCCGTGTTTTTTTCTTTTGTTATTTGTATTCATTATTTATTTGCTTTTTTGTTGTTTTGCCTTTTATTTTATTTTATTTTTTATTTGGGCGGCAGCGCTTTGCCAGACAGCCGTCACTGCCCGGACTGTGCTTTTGATGGTAGTAATTGTTTTTGTACCCTGACTGTCTCACGCCGCACTGGATGGCCAGGTTGACGCTGACCCGTTTCTCTGCTTTTTAAACAGTTGTGCTGTTGCTTCGTTGTCGTTTATTTCTTTCAACGAAAGCATGGCATTGATTACTTTCAGAGAGCCCTCCGTGTTTTTTATGTTTCATTGTTATTGTCGTGATGCCGTCAAATGTGCCGAAATGTGCGTATATATTTGTCTATCTGTCCTTGTTGTTTGGTGTTTACAGTCTGCATTTTGGGTTTATTGTGGAGTGTTTTTTTTTTCTCTTGCTTTTTGTGTGTTGCCTTTGTGAAGCTGTTTTAGTTTCTCAGGGTTCTGAATTAAGTTGGATTCTAAGGGAAAAAATTATTATTATTATTGTTTGTTTGCTAATGAGTGTGCGGAGTATTGTGACAAAGCAGCTTCTACGACAGTCCACGTTGCAGCCGCGGCTGAAGCTTCCTGCTGGTAGGGTCGTGTCACTTGAGGAGGGTCGACGTTTGGCACGCTTGGTACACGAGGAGGCGGAACAAACAGATGCTGCCAATTTGGCTGCCGTTGAGAATCGGTCGCTGAATTCGCCTGTCGTTCTGGAGGAGGAGGTATCGAAGCGCATTTTGCTGCTGCGACAGAGGAGTAATAAGGCTGCCAATATCAGGGCAGCTGTCGCTTATGCCCAGCGTAGCAAGGTGCCCGGTGCCGTGGGGAAAATGGGGACAGAGGTGCGTGAGGTGGCCGTGAAGTTGCTGCGCAAAGATTCTTCTGCTCGTGGCGCATTGAAGGAGCGTCATGAACGCACCAAAAGGACGAGAGCCTCGAAGAAGCGGGCGGTTGGCACACGCAAGTGAGGGAGCGTGTGGGAATAATGAATTTTTCTTTTTTTTTTCGGTACTTAATTGTGTAATATGCCTGTGGGGGGCATCAAACTTTCTCTGTGGGCTTTTTTCTTGCGAATGCTTTTTTTTATTTTTCTACGACTTGTCGTGGGTGAATGACGGTCTCTGTGCCTTCCATACGCATGTACTTTACTTTTTTCATTTTCCCCCTTTTTCTTTTTTTATTTCATCCACTTTATAACTTATGTTTAGGATTTTTTTTTTTTGTTTAGTGGAAATCGTTAATATTTATTTATTTCTTTATTTCTGCGTGTTTTTTTTTTTTTTTTTGTGTGTGCGTGTGTTTGCAGAACGGACTGGTTCTTGTGAATAAATGATGTTGCCTACGTGCGTATCGCTGTTGGTTTTGTGGAGTTCACTGCTGTTCACGAACACCACTTTGCCTGATTTTAAAGAGAGTTTTGGCATTGCGACCGTGTCCAACTTGTCCTGTGGGAATGCACGGATTGGGCCGTCGAATGGCTCGTTCAATTCGTCACTGTGGTCTATTGGCATTTCAGAGCGATCTTTGCTCTCATGCGCCGTAGACATTGAAATGGGCCGCGTTCGATCTCGACTCTACACGGATGTTGACGTGTCCCCAACTGCGGTGTCTCTCTTGAGATCCTCGGATGATCAGTGCTCCAATGCCGTTTTTACCAAGGACGCCTGCGTGTTTGGTATGACATTGGATAACGTTCGGCTCGACCCTCCTGATCCAATGCTTGAGGCGCTGATATCTTTGTTGAAGGAAACGATTGAGAAAAATTCGGGTGTTTACTTTTGTGACGTTCTTGTCCCGCACTTTGAAGATGAGCTGAGGAATCAAACGGTGAATCTACCGGAACCACTTCTCCCTTTTGTCCACGGCGCCACTCCTTTAAATGGTTCAACTATTTTTCGTGGGCTGTTGAACATTTTGAATAATTTGCCGGACATTTTGAATATACGACTGAAAGCAATTGAGCCTTCCAATACGACAATTCAACTGCATTTGAATTTTTCTCATGGATTTGAATTTTCAAAAACCAACATGACATGGAATACTAGTGGATTTGGCTTTTTGCCGGAGATGTTTCAGTCAACATTGGATGCGCTTTTTGATGGTCCTGTTGTGTGGAGTGAAGCTGGACCTTTTGCTGGCGCTGAAGATCTCGGTATAAAAATTCGAACACCGCGCCCTTTTAATATGTCGGTAGATATCTCAATGTATAATCTTACTTGCGGAACTGACGGGTTCTACTGCAGTCTACCATGTACCAATGGAATTGAGCTGCTAAATCTGCGTCTATATGGTTTGAATGAGTGGGATCGGCTTGTTGTGAATTACATTGGTCCTTTTGTTACGCAGAGAATTAATGAACTTTTTAGTTCCATGATAATTCCCTTTTGTAATACAACCGACAATCGCTTTCAAATCCCTATAAAAGAATCTCCAGATATTATTTCTGTGCCTCCAACAGAAGTAATCGTTCCTTCTGTACTTGTTGGTTTTGCACTTGTTTTTGGGTCAACTTTTTTGAGCATCAGGAAACATCGTAAATCCCCTGTATATTTGCTTGATGGAAGCATTATACCACTTTGGCGTGTGCTGTTGGAGGATACGCTACTGATTCTGATGATTGTGGTAAACGCGCTGGCGTTCATATGGTCAAATTGCACCACCGCCGCAAGGATTGTTGCTGGTGATGAAGTGACATTGCTGTCCTTCTCCCTCATGGAGACATCTACGAATCTTTACAAAGCTGGTCTGAGGCCATTTGCGGTACTGGTTTTTGTTTTCAGTGGGCTTTATCCGTACCTTAAACTGTTTACTATTATGACCTGCACACTTGTTCTTCAGAAGCCGGAGTCGATGATATTGAAGGTGATTGATTATTTTGGGAAACTCTCATTTTTGGATTCATATGCGATGGTGGTTATGTCTAGTGGCCTGCAGATGGAGGGAATTGCAGATGTGAAGATTATTGCTGGGTTTTACGTCTTTCTTGCGGCAACGGTTCTTTGTGTTTTTACCGGTAACTACGCCACAACTTTTTGGCGTTGCAACACGTCGCTTCGTATGCGATCCAATTCAATACCCCGACCCATGAAGGAAGTTCCAGATGAAGCGTTACTTTTGGCTCCGTTAACTGTGAATGAGAGGCATATCGTGGAGATGCCAAATACCCCTCGAAGTAATTTTCGATCCCTGTTTTGGCGTGTACTCAATGCTTTGTTTGTTGCCGCTTGTATTTTACCGCCATGGATAACGCCATGTCTGAGCTACCGGGTGAGAGGTGCCGCTACTATTATTCAGCCAAATGACCGGAATATGACGCTGTATGAGCTTTCTTCCGCGTCCACTTCGCTTCTTCTGACATGTGTGTTTACTATCTGCATTGCTCCGCTCCTTTATGCTGCATTTTACCCACGGTTGGCTCTGCTTGCTTCTTGGGGCGCGGCGGATGCATTTCTTCTGGCGTGTGTGGCCGGTATATTTCAGTTGGAGAGGTTTGTGGAGTTTGTTATTGGAACTAACATGAGGAGCTTGTACACGGCAGAGGCACGCCTTCTCTGGCCTATGATCCCGCTTTTAATCGCATCTGTATGGCAGTGGGTTCTTGCGGCGGAACATGTCTTTGGGTTGTCAGAGTTTATAAGAAATTACCGGGCGAAACCTCTAGAGGCGCTGGCATCCTAAATGGGGCGGGAGGAGGATTTACTTTTGATGTGACCAACCGGGGTGGCTTGGAGGGGCTACGATGTACACAGAAGGCGGGAACTAGTAGTTGGGCGTTGAAATCACCCTCTATACATGCACCAAAGACGATGTAGGGGGGAGCATTCTTCCTCATTCCTTTTTTATTCTTTGGTACGAAAAGTAAAAAAAAAAAGAGATAAAAAGAGATAAAACAAAAAACAAAGAAGGAAGAAGACATAAATGGCATGATTGATGTTGGCGCAACCAATTTTTTTTCTTTGTATGTGTGTGTGGGTGTGGAGAGGGGGGACGGTGCATGAGAGAAAATACATGCAAATTGCGGCACTGCACGCATCGCATTCTTTGGTGCCGTCTTGGTACCCAATCTGCATTTTGGATGCCGAAGACCGTCGTGTGTGCGCAGGAAGTGGAAATATTTGATAGCAATGAGAATGCCGTTTGGTTCTGAAGGTTTTGCGGGATGGATGGAGGCGCAAACAGAGGTGGGGAGGAGAACAAACAAACAAAGAGACAAAAAGGGAAGAAGGAGGAGCTAGAAGAAGTTTTTGCCAAGTTTGTTTACGTGTTTTTTTCCTATGACACTGTGGCTATGCGTTTTTTTTTTTTTTCCTTGTTACTCTCTTGTAACGTTCTTGCGTGTGTAATTGTTTTATTGTTATATGTTTATATGGCCTTTTTTTTTTTTTTTTTTTGAAATCTTTCCGTTGAATGGAGAGAAGCCACTCTTTTCATTAGCGTAGGGGGAGGGAGGGAGGGTAACAAGACGTGTGTCCTATAGCTGGTGGTTGTGGTGGAAGCAATCTAAGGCAGTCCCGGAGTGTTTTTTTTTCTTTTTTCTGTTTTCTTCCCCCCCCCCCCCCCTATATATACGTACATATATATAACGAATAGAGACACGGGGACAGGACGTTATGTTTACCAATTGATTATTCATGCTTTCTTCCTCTCTTAATGCGCGTGTTGTTGTTGTTGTTGTTGTTGTTTTGCCACGAATTACTTCACGTTACATATATATATATATATTTCCTTTAAGAAAAAGTTTTTTTTTTGTGTGTTGTTTTAATGGATTGCCATGTGTTTGCATACGTTTGTTTGTTTCTTTCTTTCTTATCACATAAGTGTAGGGGCGGGGCGGGGAGGAAATGTTGAGTGCAACGGAAACATGGCGTCAGTGCGCCGCAATGATGGACAACACCTCGAAGGAAGAGCTGCTTTCCGCAGCTGCTGTTGCTGGGGAAACACTTGCAGCCGATGAGCCAACGCGGTGTACATTTCCCGATGGCCCACAGGAGACGAGTAATGCAATGCTTGTAAATGCCCTTCTTTTTCTTTTTAGGCAGCTATGCGCCGAGTACATACGAGACGCAGACACGGCGCGTCAGTTTCTTCTGTCACCGCAATTCGGCGTTGCCCCGCAGACCGCAGACGTCATTGTGGAAGTATGGATGAAGAATGGCCGAGGCGTCATGGCACAGGCGCGGCGCCGGACCGTCGCAGACTTTTGCAGCATGGCAACCTGTGGAGACGCCGCGTTGGAACGCGTGCCACTTTTTCTTGCCTCGAGATCGCGTGTTGTGGTGGCGGAAGGGAACGTGTCGGAGGAGGGTTTGAACCTTCAAGACAATGAGCACCGCGTGGAGTCCTTGCTAGCACTTCCCGCAACTGCCAAATATCCTTGTGGCGTGGAGGTTGTTGTCGGGTCCGAGGAGGCCTATATGCTGTTCTGTGAACTTGACAAGGTGCAGGCAAAGCTTGATGCCTTGCTCATGCACTCCCAGTAGTGCGGCAGTTGATCAAAAGCAGGAACGCATCGTATTTAGAAACGGAACCGTTTTGAATATAAAATAGAGGGATTAGGGTACCGTATATGTTTTTTTTTTTTTTTTAAGTATCATGTCTAATTGTTTTTCTTTTTTCCTTTTCTTCTTCTCGGGCATTAGAGTGGATGAGAGCGTCGGTGAAGGTCTGGCTGCAGGAGCAGAGGCGACGAAGAAACACCCTGCCGCCCGAGGAGGAAGCACACATTCAGAGAATAAAGGATCGTCTGCGGATTGGTAGCCCTCTTTGTGAGCCTTATGACTCGCACACGGAAAGCAGTTGGAGAAAACCGACGCCCGTCAGTTCGGCTACCGCAGACAGCCTGCTGCAGCACAACGCCGTTCTTCTTTCCCGACTAGAAGACGTGGAGGAGGCACTTCGATACAGTGAAAAAGAGCGGCAAAGGCTGCGCACCCAGCTGCTTCAGGCATCTGACGAAAACCGTCGGTGTGCCATGCAGCTTATACAACTGGCGCTGGATACTCGTCGGGGGGAATTGCTTCTTGAAGAACAACTCTTCCGTGAAAGATTGCTGCGTCATGAGAGTGAAAAAAGGCAGAAGTTTCTTTGGGAGCTGGACCGCCGCCTAAGTAGCAATAGATGCGCGCACGCATCGCACAATGAGCGGCTTCAAGGCAGCCCAAGAGTTTCATTGAGTAAGCAATTTTACGCCTAGCCGTTTAAAAGTTTTTGCACTTTAGAAAACAAAGGTATCAAAGCCAACAACCGCAATTTAACTGTCTTATTTATCACTAAGCAACATTGTGCGCGTTAATCATGCCTTTAGATTGGGGTTTCTGTGACACAGGCGCCACGTAAATTGCAGCTCTGGGCGCTTTGGTAATCATTTGGAAGGGAGGGAAAACGCCTGTTGTTCCGGCGTTGGCAGGCCCTACGGGGGCGTGGGCGAGGGGAGGAGCCACCTAATGGTGGAGGTTCGTCCTGTTGCGTGGGGGACGCTCCGACGGAGTGGGTATTGCTGCTGCGTGGTCTTTTGAACGCTCTGTTGGTCGTAGTGGAGCCACTTCTTTGCGCGATTGATAGGCTGCAGCAGATGAGCGGAAGAATTCCCGCTTCGTGCAGCGTCACTGTGCAAGCAACACATGCTATGCGGCGTTTGCTGCTGGAGGAGCGACTGCAGCGTTGGCGGATTGGGGTGGAGTGCACGCTGGATTACGCGAGTTGCATTGTCAGCGACTTTCTGCTGCCGATGCAGCGCCGCGGCCGCCTGCTGGGCGAACACGCGGCTGCCTTGCTGAGGCTGTTCTCGTGACATGATATCTGCGGTCGCCGCGACAGTGTCTTTTTTCCCTTTTCTTTATCGCTCTTCTTTTTTTTCTATTGCTGCTACCTTTTTCCCGTGAGTCTTTGCCTGCACGGACCGTCCTCTCCCGTCGTTGCCGGTTTCTTCGTTAGTTTTTGCCACACACTTTAGGCGTGCTTATTGACTCATCTGAAGAAGAGCAAACACGTAGAAGAGGGAATACTTGTCGCCACGGGACACAAGGGCACATACACAGAAGCATATACATATCTATACATATATAGAGTGTGTGGGGAAGTGTCGGATGGAGAGGCTGCGTGAGCGGTGCATACTGGGGCGAGAGGTGGTGATCTCCAAGCTGCTTGGAGCTGGGGCGAACGGCCGCGTGTACCTTGCCGCTCCTGTGAGCCAGTCGGATGAGTCGAATCAGTTCTCGTACCCGCCTCACTTTGTGGTGAAGGTGATGCAGAAGGACCTGTTTCCCGCAGGCCATCTGGAGACGATCCTGAAGGAAATCAATGCCGTGCGCGTGCTGAAGCACCCGTTTATTGTGAGTTATGTGGGCGCGTGGGTGGAGGCTGGCGGCGGGGAACACGACGGGAGTGTGTGCCTGGCCATGAAGTACTGCGACGGCGGCGATCTCCACGACCTGATTCTCGAGTACAAGAAGAGGGACGAGTACGTTCCGAACGACCTGGTGATGATGGTGATGCTGCAGATCTTCTCGGCGCTGAATCACGGCCACGCGCACCACATCATTCACCGCGACATCAAGCCGGCGAACCTTTTCCTTGTGCGCGGCGAGAGCGGCTGTGGGGGCGTGGCGAGGGCTCTTGTGGGCGACTACGGGCTGGCGCGCCCGGTGGAACGCACGGTGGAGCTGGCCAAGACGCGCGTTGGCACGCCGTGCTACTGTTCACCGGAGATTGTGGCTGGGGAGGCGTACACCACCAAGACGGACATTTTCTCCGCTGGCGTGACGTTTTTT